CCCAAATCCTATGAGTCGACAACGCGGGCAGGTAAGCAGTCTGAGGCTTGGAGAAGTGACAGGAATCCCCCCAAGGTCACCCACCATAGGAGGAAGAGCCGGACTGGGACTCGAACCCAGGTCTTCTGACTCCAGTGTTCTTTCTACTCTACCGCAGGTGTAACGTGGAGAAGGTGCCCGGTAATTCTCAGTTGGAAATAGAAGGAAACAGGTCAGGATCTGTCTTGTATCCCCTTGTCTCTGAATACAGGTATCCGTCGGGACAGCAAACAGCCCATTGCTCCCCTAGCCTCCCGACCACACCCACTTGGGTTGGGAGACGGAGAGGCAGATATTCCAACCCCCCAGCCATGGCTTTTGAAGTTGTTTGTGCTGCGCTTAGGTTGGGGTGTGTCCGTCCTGTAAATGCCCTTCTTAGAAGGGCCGTCGGGAGCCGCCTGCCGGCCTGCCTGCCCACCTCCCCTCACAGATGGGTTTCTCTTGCTTCTCCCTCCCTCGGGCAGCTTCTGTCTTACATCCGTGGGCCTCCTCACTCCGTGCTGCCTTGCTGTAGAAGCTTCATGAACAGCCCGTCTGCTGCGTGGCTCTCCTGCAGGGTGTGAAGAAATGTGTGCGTGCACACAGTGTGTCTGATGTTCTGGAGTTAACCCCAGTGTGCACGGGGTTTGCGCCCTGCCTGTGCCATCTGGGTGTGCCTGCCCCGTGGTCCTAAGTGTCCCAAGCCAGTCTGTTGGACTTTTGCGTGCTTCTGCTGCTGCAGGTGGAAAACAGAACTGCTCTTTCTCGTAGGCATTTCCTGCGAATGAGGTGACGTTGGTCGTGAAAGGGAAGGGGGGGATGTACGTGATTTCTCAGGGTTAGGAACGATTAGTCCTACATCGAAGATGTCTTTCTGTCAGCTTGAACTTAAAAAAAAAAAACAAAAACAAAAACAAAAACACGGGTATGCCACTTGCTCAGCCATATTGCCCTTTTGTCGGTTGACCCTGCAACGCCCTTTACGGCATTTTCCCCCACTAGTGTAGGATCCAGTCTAGGGCCAGGAGGAAGCACTGAAGCCTCCTCCATCCGGCATTCCAGAATGGATGCCGATCCCCAGTTGTGTGTGTAAGGAGATTAAACGTGGGAGTGATTCGTGCCTACCCGCGTCTGTGTGGGGATAGAACTGTTGTCCCAGACGGTTGATTTTTGATCATTCCTATTGGTGTTCGGTAAACAGTGTTCAATCCCAGAAGCCAGACAGACACTCCAACCATCATGTGTTAACTGCAGGATGTTAAGAATTATGTTACATTTTGGCCATTATGAGAAAGAACGCAGTCCGGATTTGCATTTTGGGATTGCAATAACTTGACTTCGTTAGTTTGGTCCGTTTAAATTCAGGAACGTCTTGGGTAAACGTTTCCACCTTCACCACCCCGTCCCCCAACATGAAGAGGTGGCCTTAAGGTCTAAATGGCACCATGTGGCTAGACGCCCAACCCAGGAAACAAGGACAGACATAAGCTCCTTTTCCCTCTCTAACATCAAAATGGTCATGTGACCGTGAAAAGTGGATTAATCACAACTTTAAAGGGTATTGCAAGCCTCCAGTGTCACGCCTGGCCTTTTTGCAGAGAGGATATGGCTGCATGTAGTTGGGACCTAGATAAATACGTTTTCACCAAAGACACATTTAAACTAATTTCCAGAGCCACAGGGAGGGGCTCGACACTTGCCTCCCTCCAGGCTCTGGCATCTTTCTCGTCCCTTACTGCCCCATATGCTGTGCTTTCCCATAAGCCCCCGAGTTTATGATGTGTGTTGTTCAGAGGCTGTGTTAGGGTGAAAGTGGTGTTTGTGTGTTCAGAAGAAGTGCTGAGCATTTTCCATGTCTGTCTCTGTGCGAGTGTCGCAGGTGGGGGAGAAATGACTAAGACAGAACGCCTTAAAGCCTAGTTGGAAAAAGCGATCAAGGAAGAACATGGACACATTGGGAGTATACAGCGTGTGTATACACGGTGGGAGGGGACGGATGGGGCGGGGGCGGTGGACGCGTCAGGTCTCTGTGTGGGCCTAGTGGGAACCCCCAGGAGAGTGTGGGGGTGGTGGGCAAGGCAGAGGCACCCAGGCCCACGTGCGGGGGCAGCCCTGGCCGTATGGAAACGCAGGCCCCCCCCCTAGAGACCACGTGATCCCAGTAGGCCTGGACCACGCCGTGCGGGGGATGGGGGTCTCGCGTGGGGGCGGTGGGAACGTGACTGACAAGATTCCAGAGCAGGTGTGAGCGAGGAGAACCCACGGACAGCCCTTGGGTCTCTGTCCGTGGTGGTGAGTCTGCGTGGTGCCACTCAGGAATGTGGGTAGGAGGAAAGGACGCACGTGCGTGCGCACGTGCGTGGGTGCCGCGGGCATACCTACCTACCGTGTGCGTGCATGCATACGTGCGTGTGTGTGTGTGCGTGCACATGCGACTACCCAGCCCACGTACTCCATCCCAGGAAATCCGATCCCACTCTATGGCTCTTTGCAGCCCTTGATGTTGTGATTATGTTGCTAGTATTGACCATCCTTCCAGGACCAGCCAAGAAGCTCTTTTAGGGGAAATTTATTTTTAGCAATGTCAGCACCCATCATGCTGCATTTCTTTGAATAGGGGAGGAAGGCTATGACTGGATCTTGGGCCGAAGCACCTTTGCCTATAGTAGCTCTAATTAGATGATGGCGAAATTGCCATAAAATGGTAGTGTGACCAAGTGGACACATTTGTAGAAAAATTCATTGGAGGTGAAGAGCCTTTCCTCGTGCATTCCCCATATCGGACGCTTCGGGCTCAGCATCAGAGCCGACAGTTTATTCTATGCAGTTGCAGCCTGGTGAGGTCGTACATAGCCTTGCGCATTGTTTGGGATGATGCTCCCCAGACTGGGGTCCTCAAATTCCGGTACCATAGCCTCTTGGAGAACCCTCAGTGCACTTAGAGGCTCTGAGAGGTCTTTTGTCAAGTAACCTGTTGAACTTCGTTCATCCCAGTGTATCCCAAACTCCTTTGACCAACAAAAACCCCCTTTCCAGGGAGAACCGTTAAAAACTCATTAAGCTTGTATTTCCTGAAGCACACCTTGGGAAGCGCTGAACTGGAGCTTAGAAGTTGCATTTAGTCCAGAGAGGGTTTGCTCAGGGAAATATGGATTTCAGTACTTTATTTTTTCCTCATGACAAATATTGATACTTTTATATGTTTATACTTTCACTCCCGGCAACTCGACACTTACTTCATGATTCTCTCAGCCACTTACAAGTGGGCAGCCCGCAAATAAACTTAGCCTGTCTGCTTTCCAAGGCACACAGGGCCTCCCTGAGGCCTCCAGGGTCAGTCTGACCGGGGAAGCACAGGGCCTCTGCCTCGCAGAGCTGTACTCCAGCACCAGCATAAATGACCTCTTTCTGAGGGAGGAGGAAGAGTCCCAGCTGGAATAACAAAATAGATTTTCTTATGGTCTGATAAAACTGTCTTTAAAACCACTCTACAGGCATTTTAATAAAACAGATTGCTCTGAGACATGGCAGCTATCGGGCATAGATGTTCTTGCATATTCATGGGGCAAGGTCTGCCTCATTCGTGTCTTTCTTAAGAATTTGCTAAAACAGCCATTTAGGACAAAGCAGCACTCTGGTGTCCCCTTGAACCTGTCCCTTTAACAAAATGACACTTGGGACTGGAGGCTCAGGTGGGAGGCATTTGATTTTGTTTGCTTGCCAAGCTGTGTGCTTTTGAGTTTGGTCCCATTTCAGCCTAAAGCTTTGAAGTGTTTTCACTATTACCAAGTAGAGACAAAGGGACGGAGCAGAGGACAAAATACTCAGTGGAAGGGCAGGTAGGTCCCTGTCTTTGGAAAGGAACGCATTCTTTGAGTCACGTCCAGGTCTACAAGATGAGATGGTATAATCAGCGACCAAGGCCTCAGGTGGACAGGTGGGCAGTTACAATTGTATATTTCTACCTGCTCTTAGGAAATGTCAGGCGAGTACAAGGGGAAAAGCAACTGGACATCCTGAGTCACTTTCTAGAAGAGTCCAGTGATAGATGGTAGATTCTCCCAAAGTTTCCTCAAAATGCTTGTCTATGCAGATAAGTAATAATCTCAGAATCCCACGTCCTGATGAGCACCTTTGATTTGTTAGTGATAAGTTCAGGGAGAGAAACCTGAAGAAATAAATTGGACCTTAATAAGGTAGTAGATTCTGATGGTTGTGATATATTAAAATTTTTATGGAGTTATTCTGTTCTACTTTTCTCTTTATTTGGCTTTATAAGGTAGAATTAAATGGTGCCAGTTGGTGAAATGTGCTATTTATGGTGTTATAAATAAAAGCTGATCATATACCTCTTAGATACCATTTCTCTGGGAAAAATTAGATTAGATTTTTGACTTACAGCATGTTTTCAAAGAAGGTAACCCAGTAAAAGTGTGTGAAACCTACTTTATTTATGGATGATGATATGGTTCCAAAATACATTAGCGTGTAAATCCTCATTTTGTTGAATCAGAGGACATTGTTGTTAATATTTATTTATGCTCTGGCATATCTCCTTCTGGTCCTTAAGTTTATGACTTTTTAAAAATGTAGTTGCAGTTGTACTGCATTTACAGTCTGATATCCTGTGTTCTTTTATTTATTTTTTTATTGAAGGTCACAACAAGGATTTTTCCCTTCTTTAAGGCATAATCTTAAAATTCATAATTTTAGACTCCCTAACATTCTGTTGTCCTTTCCCCAGTAAACATTTTGGATGCGTTACATTAGTCGCTTTAAATAATGCCGTGATGAACATCATTTATGCAACTATTATATGTACATACTTATGTATTACATATATGTTATTTTATTCACCTAGGATAGATTACCAAAAGTAGAACCATGTACCATGGTGTAACTGTATTTAAGACTCTTTTATTTTTATTTTTTTAAGAGAGTGCATACACGTGTGAGCCAGGGAAAAGGGCAGAGGGAGAGAGAGAATATTAAGCAGGTTCCACACTCAGCTTGGAGCCTGATGGGGGCTTGATCCCACAGCCCGAGGATCAGGACCTGAGCCGAAATCAAGACTGAGCCTCTCAAGCACCGGAGCATTTAAGCTTCTTGATAAAGCCTTGCTGTTTTTACTGAGCTGCGTGAGCCCTTTATAGACTGCTGCTAACATCCGGTCATTTACCTTGCATTAACCTGATGTAACCTTATTTTTGTTGGTAACTCAGGCACATCCTATATCTACGGTCCTAACGCTACTCTTTGGGGTGATTTTTAACGGCTACCACCGCCATTACCAAAAGCAAGTCTACCGTCATCCCATTCTGTGTTGCCATAACCTCCTGTATTCTTCAGATTTCCAAGCTTGTTGGGAATTCTCAGTCAGTAGTCTAGTAAGACTCAGGTGAGAGACCTCAGTAGTGAACACGGAGCACAAGTAATTGTCATACCTGTTTTGTGCCTGGCCCAGGTGTCCAAGGGCTCCCTGGGAAAGTAGGGTGCTGTCCCCTTCAGGTGCATTTTTAAGTGGTTTGTTTTAAACCTCCCAGGAATCTGACCCTGAAAAGCAACAGCATGCTTTCACCTACTACCCTCCAATGTTGACCCAGTTTTAAAGTTCTCTTCCCAAAAGATTTCCTGTGTTTGAATCCTTGAGGACTATAGTAACTTTTTTTTTTTTTTTTGTAAAATCCTTCCAAGTGGGTATTTTAAATCATGACATCACTTCTTTAATGGGGGCAAGATAGGTTTTATTTAGTTAACAAATGCAAAAATGTGGCCGTTTCGACATGAGCTAAATTCTTTTTTTTTTTTTCACAAGTGTCCATTAATCCATGCTTGTCAACACATCAACCTGGGCAGAAGAAAAGAAAATCATAAAACAGCAAAAAACAAAAACAAAAACAAAAAACAAACAAACTAAAACCAAAACCAAAAAACCTCCTGCCCAATAACTGATCTTCCTAGTTTGGGTTTGTGGGGAACCAGAACAGCCGGCGTTTTACAGCAGTAGCCTTCTTAGCAGTGTTAGTCTTCTGTACTCTTCCAGGGAGGCTACGCCTAAAATGTAAACAGAGGTTCCTAATGTTTGCAGTCACCATTTTAGGGTCCTGGTAGTACAGACGGGAAAGCAGTGCCCTCTGGTTTGCGGACGTGATGGGAGAGAAACCTGGTTCCCACGTGAAGCCCCACGGCCACGGGAGCCCCCGTCGTATGCTTGTGTATCCACGTGTAATGTGCACACCTATCAGCAGTACATGCAGGGTTTGCACAGCAGCATTTACATGGCGGCACACAGGGCCTTTCTGTCTCACACATCACGCTCACGTGGCCCCCTGCCCGGTCACCTCTGGAGAGAGCTGTGCTTGCCCAGTGTCCCCTTGTAGCCCTATCCCTCCGCCACCCACGCTCTGCCTTCTCATGTTTCTTGTTCCTTGACAGATCAGTGTATGAAATAGATCTGAAATTGTGGACCCTCAGTGGATCCCTCTTTTGGGGGAGGGCAGCAGCTTTATCCTTTTTGTCTTGGGGAAGCTGCACACTTCCAGCCGACGATTCATACTTAGGCCTTAAACTATATAAAATGACATCATGGAAAATACCTTGGGGGATAGGTTAAGCATTTCAACAGAAACAGAACACCTTCTGCAAGCCATTGTACAATTAGTCCATTGTTCTGTATTTTAAAAACACACACACACAAAATTTTCCAGCACTGGAAAAAAAAAAAAAA